CACACACACACACACACACACACACACACACACACACACACACACACACACACACAGGTACCAGCCTGTATCTGTCCATGTCCTTCTTGTTGCCCAGGAGTATGATGGGAGTTTGTGGCCTGAAGGTTTTGTTGTGTGAGGCGAGTGTCTGCAGGTACAGCTGACAGCCATTAAAGCTCTCCATGTTATCAATGCTGTAGACCACCAGGAAGACGTTTGCCCATGACAGATAGCGTTCACTGTTCACTGGACCTTCCTACAAACACACACACATACTCAGTTTCATTTTCTGTAAATTACTGTGTGAGCTGTCGTTAGATTCTAGACTAAAAGATTTTGCTATCAGCACAATTATCTCAATTTTGTCTCAATGTTGGTGCTAATGGAGCTGACCAGTATTTTGCTGCCAAAAGCTTGGATGGAAAAAGTTGGATAAAAAGCTGAGCAGATTTAGCTTTTTCATTAGTAAATGACTAAATAAATACATAAAAAGTAAAAATCAAAACGTGCGGGTGGGGGGCATTTTGATACCTTGGGTATGCAGACAAGCTTTTATTTTGAAAGTCAGATATCTACAGGACACTCTCAAAAATAATGAAGCGATATCTTTTCCCTTGCAAAATGGGAAGTGCATCTATCAGTCAGCTTAGACCAAAACTTCTGGTGTCAGATATGCTGGAAAACCTTTAAATTGAAATCCCACTCTACTATTAATACAATACAAAATACTACGTAGAGTGCACTATACAGGTCAACGGATGGTCAAGATGGGCTTTACGTCATCTAACAACTGCTCACACTGTCAAGGCAATACACCTGACAATTACATCCAGGCTCTTTGGTTCTTTCCACCAGTTCAGAGGTTTTGGATATCTGAAGTAGAGCAAAAATATTTATCACGTTATACATTTGAAAATTTGCGATAACAATATAACTGACACTAGACAAAATACTTTACAACTCCTCAACTTTATTAGTGCAAAAAAAAAAATATCCATCAATGTATTTTCACTTAAACAAGCAGCTTACAAGACCGTGCAGAAAATGTTCCCACTAAGCCAGAAGGGAAAAACAGGGAACACACACATGTAACATGGACGCTCTTATAACATGCGGTTATCCTAATTTCACCAAATCAGCAAAGATGCACAGAAAAGAAGATCTGACACCAACTAGGGAGGATCAGAAACACAAACAGAACGATATTCTCATCTCCTATGTAGCAGGTTTATCAGAGAAACTCAGGAGAGTCTTTTCCAAGCACAACATCCCAGTGTACTTCAGACCCAGCAACACACTCAGACAAAAACTGGTTCATCCCAAACACAGAACTCCTGAACCCAAACTTGACAACGTAGTGTATGCTGTACAGAGCAGCGAGGATTGGTATAAACACATGGCACAACATAGAAGAGCACCTCAACGAGACAAGACTCGGCTGTCCATCTACACCTAAAGGTCAAAGGTCACTTTTTATGAGGATGCCAATGTTCACATTTTGGACAGAGAGGACAGAT